TAGTGGCACTCCCCTTGGCCGGAATCAGGGGCCGCGTGTGTGTGTGTGTGGTGGGCACTGTGGCTGGGAGAAGAGCTGGCTTAGGGCCAGATCGTGGAGACCTCAAATGCTAGAAGTCTGGGCAGCTTCGTGTGAGTGGGCAGCCGTGCCCGTGGAGGAGCGCCTGGCATAAAGCAGTTGGCCGATATGCATGGATGTGAGTGTGATCCTCGTTGTCGGTACCATTACTGAACCAGGGTCGTGGGCCAGTGAGCCCTGAAGGACTGATGGGCGATTCTGAGGCCTGGCCAGAGGTGACAGCCAGTGGGCCACAGCGCTAGCTCCTTGAGTCCAGGAACGCTCTTGTGGCCTCTGGAGCCCGAGGCCAGGACCTAGAACCCAGTAGGAGATTCATAAGAGCTTGTGAGGTCAGGCAGCAGGAGGGAGGCAGGGGTTGGAGGCAGGGAGCCCAGGGAGGAGGCCGGGTGACGAAGCAGATGGAGAATAAATGAGGACATGCTCATGGGGTGGAGGGACCCTGACTCTCAGGGTCCTGCAGTGTCTCAGGGAATGGAGACCCAGTGGTGAGCTGGGGGATCAGAGTCAGGGGTCTGGGAAATGGGGATGAGAGCATCTGGGGGTTGAGTCTCCAGGAAGTGGCTGGTTTCAGAGGCAGAAATCGGGTGAGGATATTGAGTTGGGAAGGGGAAAGAACTCTGAAGATTTCTCAGCCGAGTGTGGTGGTACGCGCCTGTGATCCCAGCTACTCAGGAGGCTGAAGCAGGAGGATGGCTGGAGCCCAAAAGGCCGAGGCTGCAGTGAGCTGGGATTGTGTCGCTGCACCTTAGCCTGGGTCAGAGAGCAAGACCCTGCTCAACGCGACAACAAATGCCATCGCCTGTGAAAGGAGGAGAGGGAAGGAGCTGCTGGCAGAGGGGACAAGGCAGCTGTTCTCACCACCAGGACGAGGGAGGTATGGGCGGTGTGTGGGCTGCTGTGCAGGAGCTGGAAGCCAGGGAGAGGCTGAACGCACTGGCCCAAGCCAAGGAGTGGCCCAGTGCCACATCCCTGCCAGGTGACAGAGACAGTTGGCCCAGAGTAGGGGACACCTCCCGGGGCTTGGGAGAGGCGTAACTGTTGTCCGTGGATGAGAAGACTCAGGCACTGCCGTTTTCTTGGGTGATGAGGACCCTGTGGCCAGGGGACGATTCTGGCTGTGGATTTGGGGTGCTGCCTGGAGAGGCCCGCACTGTGGCTGTGCTGGCTGGGGTCTGCATCTGGGGTGGGAACCCCCCTTGCCTGTTCTGGAGCTGGCGAGGCGGGCTTGGCCCCGAGCTGTGGAAGGCTGCTCCTGGGCGTGAGGCCCGTCCTGTGACCCACCAAACCTCAGCCTCCAGGAAAGAGGCTAAAAATAAGGCTGTGGTGCAGAAGGGAGGGTGCTGGGGCCCAGAGGAAAATCTGAGGCGACGTCCGAGCTGCTGTGACACACGCTTCCCGTGCCAGCGGCCAGCGGGATCTTACCCTCCTGCGGCTGAGGCTGCTTCCAGGCCTGGAAGAGGGAAAGCAAGCCAGAAAGGCTGAGACCGGGTCCGACCTTGGGCCTCGCAGCCTGCAGGAAGCCCTGCTCCCTGGGAAGGCTCTCTCTGGTCTTTTTCCTGGAGCTTGGCCTTGGACCCAAGGCTGGGCTCTGGGGAGTGGTGGGGTGGGGACAGGCTGTGTTATCCACAGCTTCCTGTGTCCTGGGAACTGCTCAGGACTTCCCAGAGACCTTAGGTGCCCATCTGGATGTGGAGGAATGTTCCTCCCTCTACCAGGAGCTCTATGTGGTAGAGGAAGTCAGGGGAGGCTTCCCGGAGGCAGAGGCAAATGCTGGACCTTGAAGTCATCGGGTGGGGAAGTGTGCAGTTGGATGGCTGGCATGTGCTGCAGGGAGGAAACGAGAGTGTTTTGATTTGTCATGCACACAGGACGTGGTCATGATGGCTATATATATATATTTTTGAGGTGGAATCTCGCTCTGTCACCCAGGCTGGAGTGCAGTGGCGTGATCTCGGCTCGCTGCAACCTCTGCCTCCCAGGTTCAAGCGATACTCCTGCCTCAGCTTCCTAAGTGGCTGGGACTACAGGCACCCGCCACCACGCCCAGCTACTTTTCTGTATTTTTAGTAGAGGTGGAGTTTCACCATGTTGGCCAGGCTGGTTTTGAACTCCTGACCTCAGGTGATCCACCTGCCTCGGCCTCCCGAAGTGCTGGGATTACAGGCATGAGCCACCGCATCCGGCCCATAATGGCTATTTAATATGGCCTCCCTCCCAGAAACGGAACCTGCAGTCATACGGACCTATGTCCCTCCCCTGGCCTATGGACGGGGACCCTCCTGCTTCCTCCTGACTCCGCCCATCCTTTTGTCCACCAAACACCAAAATCGTGACAGTCCCTGGTCTGGGTCCTGGAGATGACCTGCCACGGCCCTGCCTTACTTGTGGTCTAGTGGAGGATGAGGCCACATTCACCTATGTGCGAAGTCCCTGTGGGCCATGTGCGTGCTGGGCCCTGGGGGACACCAGCAAACCATGCAGAAGGCAGTGCGGCAGGAGAACAAGCTTTGTTTTTTGGCGGTAGACCTGGCTTCAGATCTCACTCCAAAACAGAATATGCTGGGTGACAAATGACTTCACGTCTCAGAGCCTTGGTTTCTTCCAAAATAAAATGGGATGAGAATCACAAATACCAGCACAGAAAGTGAGGCCAGCATCTGTACCGTCTTCCAAACCTCACACAGTTCCTTGGAACTTTGCAGGCAGCAGTAACTAGTGGCTCTTAGCTCCTGGCCTCAGGAGGTGCTCACACCCATGCTCCTGCGTGCATTCCCCATAGAACTCACTCATGCTAGTGGGCCCAGTGCTAAAATGAGTTTGGACCGGGGACAGTGGAGGAAAGTAACTTACAGAGAGCAGTGGGAGGGGAGCAACCAGGGAAGATGTCCCAGAACATCAGGTGTCTGATCTGGCCTCGAAGGAGTGGCAGGAGTGAGCCCAGTTGATGACGTCATACAAGGATAGAAGAGGAGGTGTGGGCCAGGTGTGGTGGTTCGTGCCTGTAATCCCAGCACTCTGGGAAGCTGAGGCAGGTGGATCACCTGAGGTCAGGAGTTCGAGACCAACCTGGCCAACATGGTGAAACCGCGTCTGTACTAAAAATACAAAAATTGGCTGGGTGTAGTGGCCCGTGCCTCTAATCCCAGCTACTCGGGAGGTTGAGGCAGGAGAATCAGTTGAACCCGGGAGGTGGAGGTTGTAGTGAGCAGAGATTGAGCCACTGCACTCCTGAGAAGGGAGGCCGAGGGCGGGTCTGGCAGGGCCACACCTGCGCCCTATGGTCTGGTGAAAGGCCTGGGGCAGGCACCTCAGAGGTCCCTCTCGCTGGCCCTGCCATCCACAGGCCTAGGACTGGCCCCGGCTTCCACCCTCAAGACAAAGTCACAGCCTGCCTTGGTTATTAAGTCATTAACTGGGCCCCTCACAGTCTCTTCATCCTGGGTAATTATGGTCAATCCACTCAGGGCATTAACAAGGAGGAAACAGCGTCTCGGGGCTGTCAGTCTGCTAGGACATCAGCCCGTGCGGTCCTGCCTTCCAGGAAACCGCTCAGCATCCCAACCTGGGTCTCGGGAGGGATGGTGACATTCCAACCTCCCCAGTCCTTCTGCACCCTCAGTCCCAGCTGCCAGCGGGACCCTCATACAGCGCTCGGAGATTCCACTCTTTCCTGCTTCCCTGGGGTGTGGCTTTGAGCCCATGGCTTAATTTCCTGTGCTCCAGTTTCCTCATCTGTCAACTCGGATATTGGTACCAGCATCTTGGGGCTGAATGAGGATTAAACAGGCATTTAATGGTCAGTTAGGCAAACCATCCTCTGTTGAATGCTCATCATCACCATCATCATCATCATGGAGAGCTCTGCAGTCCCCCAGAGGCCTCTGTCCCTGCCTGGGGAGCCCCCAAGGGCAGGGCCATCTCCTCCTTCCTCCCCTGTCCCTTCTCACTGCAGACGTGCTGTGGTCAGGGGGCCTCTGACCTGTGGCCTGGGTCCTGCTGTCCTGGGAGGGAAGTGCAGATGGGGACCCCAAGGCCTTGCAGGGCTGCAGGTTGTGCTTACTCAGAAGCCCTCGCTGGGTGCTGTGAGGGGTGGAGGGTCCCGGACCCTGCCTTCCTGCCATCAAGCCATGGCTCTGTCAGTCTGTTGGCAGCTGTGGGCGGTTTCTAGGTGGTCCAGCTGTTGCCCCCACCCCATGACATGCAAAGGCCTAAAGTAGTTGGGCTTGGGAGCAGGTTTGGCCTCAGGAATCCACTTCTCCCAAGAAAGCGGGCCTGGAACCCCACCTGCTTCCCTCTGTATCCCCGGACCCTGTGTCTGAAAATGGGGGGGCCCAGTAACACAATCCTGAGAGCAGCGGAGGTGAGAGCATGTGTGTGTGTGCATACGCACCTGTGTGCAGGTGTGTGTGTGTGCACATGTGTGTGTGTGTGAGCATGTGAGCATGTGTGTGCGTGTGGATGTGCTTGTGCGCGTGAGCAGCTGAACCAGAGTGAGTGTGGCTGCTCCCTCCCAGGCCAGAGGGCTCCCTGCAGCTTTCAGGCCCCCCACTGCTCTCGACGTCATGGACCCGGAGGGAAAGGCCCGTGTCTGTCGCACTGATCCAGGCCTGGGCTGCAGGTAGGGAGGAGGCCCAGGCTGGCAGATAGGAGGCATGGTTGCCCATGGGGCAGAATAACCACAGACAAGCCCTGCCTGCCCTGTGACAAGCCCTGTGTCTGCCCCTCGGGCCTTTGCGAATGATGGGGATGGGCTGGGGGCAGGAGGCAAGCCTGGCAAACCTGGGCAGGGTGGAGGTCGAAGCAGAGCAGGAGATATGCAGATGGGCGCAGGCTGGGCCCTGCAGGGCGGGAAAGAGGCTGCGCTGGGCTTGGGGACACCAGGCGTCAGACTCGGCCAGTGAGCACCCTCTGTCTTCCTCCAGGCGTCCTTCTGGACATCCAGCAGCACTTTGGGGTCAAGGACCGAGGCGCCGGCTTGCTGCAGTCAGGTGAGGCCCACCCCCACCTTCCCCCGCCCAGGCGCTGGTGTTGTGGGTCCTGTCCTGTTGGCCGTCCTCTGCCCCCCGCCCCGCCCCGGTCTCTCTGCCGGTGCTGACTCCTGGAAAGAGAGTGGGCTTTGTCCCCCAGTGCCAGTGTTGTCGCCTGCCAATGGCAGCGTGTCTCAGAGCCTCTGCTTCTTTTCTCGTCTAACAAAATGAATAATACCTGCCTGAGGGCAAATATGGGGGTGCAGGTCAAGGGCCAAGGTTGCAGAGGTGACCCTTCCTCTGGGTCCTGGGGCCTCATCGGGACCCAGTGATCCGGGATCCATCCTGACGCTGGTGTAGGGAGCTCCTTAAGTCAGTAAGTTGGGCAATGCCAACAGAGCCATGGTGACCCCGTTTTTATCTCCTGCCCTCCCCCACACTCCTTCCATTACCATCCACCCTGGGAATCACCTCTTAGGTGACAAGCAGGAAACTCCACCTGGTCAGCCTGAGAGCAGTTCCCAAGCCCAGGGCAGGCGCCTGAGAATCGGCCCTGGACTGGCCGTGGGCCTGAGGTTCCCTGCCACCCTCTCCTGCAGGGCCCAGGCTTCTGATGGGCTGCTGGAGAAGGGCCTGAGCCCCCAGCCTGCTGGAAGCTGGGCTGGGACAGTGTGGGAGGCCATGAAGCAGATACGGCAGCCTCCCAGGCCCTCCCTCCGGGAATGTGCCCCCTGCTCCTGCCCTTGCTGAGGCATGGTCCCGTGGGAGCTGGGCTCCTGGCTCCCTGGCCTCATCGGCTGTGCCCTCAGCAGCACCCCTCAGGCCGGGCAGAGACTCCGGCCAGTCCTGCAACCCAGGGCTGGTGCAGGAGGCTGGTCCTGACTCTGCCCTGGGGGTGCTGTGTGGCCCCAGCTTGGGCCCTGCCTTTTCTGGGCCCTTGGCCCCGGAGTCCCTCCGGCTTGGAGGCCCAGCCAGATGTAAGATAAGGTCCCCATGGTCTGCACTCCAGTTGGTGAATGCTTCCCCTCCTGGGCCCTCCTGGGAGGGAGGGGTGGAGAGAGCTGGCTCTGCGCAGGAACCTGCCTGACCTGTCTAAGTGGCATTCCAGTACGCACAATGCCTCCTGAGCTCAGAGTCCTACAGCCACCCACCGCCCCTCTCAGCTGCCCCCAGAGCTCAGATGGGGACTTTAGGGCTCCGAGAGGGGGGATGCAATGGTTCCAGGGCTCACATGAGACTGGCCTATGCTAGGACGGGGCAAGGCTGTGTGGTCCAGTGTCCCCTGTGGGTGTCCAGGTCCCTGCCCTGGCAGACATCACCTCTTCCCAGGCCATGAGCCCAACCCCTCCCCCACCTCTTCCTGGGCCTCCCTGGCTAGGCCAGAATAAGTCTGCCTGCCCTGCCCCCGAGACAGGCTCCTGTGATCCCCTCTGGGCTGTGCACATGCAGTGACCAGCACTTTGGCTGGGAAACAGAGTTCCGGAGTTCCGGGCACACGGGTGCATGGGAAGGAGTGGGCTGCCAAGCTGGTGAGGAAAGGGCGGAGAAGGCCTCAATGCCCAACCCCTGCCCTGCATGGCCCCTGGCTCACTGGGGACCTGGCCTGAGCCCCATCGCCGTCCTGGTCCCGGCCTCACTGCCTCATCTGGAGTAAGGCTTTACCCCAAGCATCCTCCATTTAATGCCCATTGAACATGGTCGGGGCCAGCACAGCCCAGGGTGGGGGAGGGGCGGGAGGTGCGGGGAATGGTAGGGAGGGCCATGGGGCTTGGCTCAAGGCAGCTGTGAGGGCTCCCTGGTTCTTTTTGTGGCTCTGTCCTTGGCTGGCTTCTTGGGCTCATGAAAGAGAATTCACACAGTTCCTATTCATCCCGGTGACCTGCTGGAGGTGGACAAAGCATGCCACGAGTCATCCTGTTTGATTCTTCTGGTAACCCTGCAGGTTCCCTTCATCAGCTTCACTTATCAGATACAGGGACAAAGGCCAAGACAGGGAAGCCACTTGCTTGAGGGCTCACGGTGGACAGCAGCCAGCTGGGAAGAGGGACCTGGCCTCTGCCTCTCCTGCCCACTGGCCTGCATGGTCTGGGTGTCTGGCATCTCAGTGTCCCCAGGGTGGGTGCCTCTGGGCCATGGTGAGAACTCCCAGCATCCTCAGGGACCCTCTAGTCTGTACATGATGGCCCTCACCTGTCACCTGCCCCGGCATAGCTGGGATGGGTCTCCAGGGTGTCCTCACCCCTTCGGCCACCTGAGCCAAGATGCCATTCGAGTAGACCAGGATGTGACTCAGTGGACAACTAGGCAAGTCACCTAATTGGCCTGTGTCCCAGGCATCTGTGCCTTCCCCAAGCCCGATAAGGTCGGAGCCAGGTGGAGGGCGCCAGCCAGGTGTCGGTGCTTGCCCAGATCAAAGGGCCGGGGCTGAGAGCTGGGCTGCCTGCTTATTTGTGGGCACCAGGGGCTGCTGGGCCAGGAGACAGGGAGGGGGTGGCTCAGGGGTAGGCCTGGGCATGCTCCTGCTGCCCCCTCCGGGACCAGGCGTGAAAACTGCTGAGGACCACCCACTTTCAGCAGACCCTTTGCAGATGAGACTGCTGCTGGATCGGGCCTGGCCCTTAAGTTGCCTGCAGGAGTCATAGCTCAGCCTCTGTGAAAGCCCACAGCAGAATTACAGCCCACAGGCCAGGTGCAGTGGCTTATGCCTGTAATCCCAGCACTTTGGGAGGCCGAGTCAGGTGGATCATCTGAGGTCAGGAGTTCGAGACCAGTCTGGCTAACATGGTGAAACCCTGTCTCTACTAAAAATACAAAAATTAGCCAGGTGTGGTGGTTGGCACCTGTAATCCCAGCTACTCAGGAGGCTGAGGCAGAAGAATCACTTCAAGCGGGAGGTGGAGATTACAGTGAACCAAGATCATGCCACTGCACTCCGCCAGGTGACAGAACAAGACTCCATCTCAAAAAAAAAAAAAAAAAAAAAAAAAAGGCTGGGCATGGTGGCTCAGGTCTGCAATCCCAGCGCTTTGGGAGTCCGAGGCGGGCGGATCACAAGGTCAGGAGTGTGAGACCAACTTGGCCAGTATGGTGAAACCCTGTCTCTTACTAAAAAAATACAAAAATTAGCTGGTCCTGGTGGTATGCGTCTGTAATCCCAGCTACTCAGGAGGCTGAGGCAGGAGAATCGCTGGAACCAAGGAGGCAGAGGTTGCAGTGAGCCGAGATTGCACCACCACACTCCAACCCGCGCGACAGAGCGAGACTCCACCCCCAAAAAAAAAAAAAAATTACGGCTCATAGGTTTTGCTGTTTTGGGAAATCAGGAACTGCCATGGCCTATACCTAAAGAGGCAGCTGCCACTGAACCTCCTGCTTGGCAGGCTGTGTGTTGGGCTCTGCCCAGACTCAGTTCCTGCCCTCAGGTAGATTCCCTCTAGCTACGGGGACAGAAAATGTATCATCAAGTCACCACCGGGCACAGGGGGACTAGGGGAGCCTGGTGGATGGCAGAGAGCGTGCGCCCCGCCCTGGCGGGTGGCAGGTGGAGAATGCGTCCTTGAGGGGGAGACATTAGAATGAGGCTTTGAAAAATGAGTTAGAGTTTGTAGTCAGCGTGTGAGATCGACTGAATGTGTGAAGCCCTCCTTTCCCCTCCAAGCTAGATAAAATATGCCAAGAAACATGTTTAAATTACAAAGCTCAGCCTGACAGCTAAAGCTAGCAGGGAAATTCCCAGATGCCAGAAGCAGAGAGATGAACTCAGAAGACGGAGTGGGAGCTAGAATCGAAGCCAAGTGGTGCAGAGTGTTTAGGGACCAGATAAATGTCTTCGAAGCTTGTCGCAGTATTTTTAATATAAACATTTTTATCATAAAAAATTTTAAACATACATAAAAAACAGTGAGAATAGCCCAACCAACTTCCATATAACATGTTGCCCAGATTCAGCAAAGGAACACTAGTCTGGCTCAGCCTCCAGGCCTGGGGCTTCTGCATTCTAATCATGGTGGTTCCGTTTCCAGCCAAGCTCCCTGATTCCAAGCTGTGTCCCCACGCTGGTGGGTAGTTTTCTGGTGAAGTTCCCTTTCAAGAACGGACATTTCCTACCTGGCTCTGGCCTGATGGAGACAGCCTACTTCCAGCCCCTGCTGCATACAGGCCTGGGCCTTCTAATTCCTTCCCCACAGAGGCCCCCTATATTTCCACGGACCCCAGCAGAAGCAAATCCCAGACCATTCCTTAGGGAATTCTTAATGATGCAGAGCCTGCATGGGACACGGGACAATCGCGACTGCAGACAAACTCAAATTCCAAATTAATAGAGCAGGCCGGGTGCGGTGGCTCAGGCCTGTAATCCCAGCACTTTGGGAGGCCAAGGTGGGTGGATCCCGAAGTCAGGAGTTTGAGACCAGCCTGACCAACATGGTGAAACCTTGGCTCTACTAAAAATACAAAAATTAGCCGGGCGTGGTGGTGTACACCTGTAATCCCAGCTACTTGGGAGTCTGAGGCAGGAGAATTGCTTGAACCCAGGAGGCAAAGGTTGCAGTGAGCCGAGATCGCACCATTGCACTCCAGCCTGGGTGACAGAGCGAGACTCCCTCTCAAAAGAAAAAAGAAAGTTAGATCTGAGGAAATCGACGTCAGTGGCACACAGAGAAGGGCGAGGGAGAACGAAGGTTGTTTATGACACTGCCTTACTCAGTGACCTGTGTGGCCCATTGGCCATGGGCTGGTGCATGGGGAGAACAGAGGAGAGAGGCTGGACAGTGGGCAGGGTCTGACTGTGACAGCCTTGAAGGCCAAGATAAGGCATGTGGATTTTGTCTTGGGGCAGTGGGGAGCCAGAGTAGGTTTTGGGGCAGGGCAGGTCCATGTAAGATGTGTGTATCAGGATATTTATTCTGAGATCAAGTGTGGGAAGGGTGGCAGAGGAAGCTGAAGGCTACTTGGCTGGGGTTTGTGGGGTCATGAGGAAGTGCCAGGATGGGGACAGGGGAACGGAGGGAGAGTGGGGACAG